TTTTAATTGATTTATATTTATTTATTTGTAATGACCGGTATATAATTTAGAAAAAACGCATGTCTTATATTCTAAAGTTGGGGAGCCAGAAGGACAAAATATCCTAGAAGAGTTAGGAGGTACGTGAATTTTTTTTAAAAAAAAATTTTTAAGAAAGGAGTTAACGATTTCACTTTCTTAGGATTTTTAACCGATAAATTCGAAAAAGCGGGGTATTTAAAGAAAGAAAATCGGCCACTAAAGGTTCGTTAAAGCTTAATTTTTATAAATAAAGTTTATGATTCTTTTCTGATTTTTGGGTTAACTTTCCATATAAATTAGTTGCATGCTACTCTTATAAACACCAGGCATAGAAATAATGGTGTCGTAGCATCTAATCATGACAACAGACAAGGAGAACCGGTCAGAATTCCCTTCAATGCAACACCTATTTTTAATAAATTTTCCAATATAGAATTTGGAACTTGTCGAATCGAAAGTATACATATTTCAAAAGTTGGTGAATATGATGAACGTGGAAGACATCATAGTGAAGGTGGCATTAAATTGCCTTAGTAATAATTGGTTAAAGCTATTATAATGAACTTAATATAACAGATTTATTTAAATAAAAAAAATGGAAATTCTAAAATTCTGATATCTTTTTTTTAGGATGCGAGTGTTAGCAATGACCAATTTTGTATTCTTATCTGCTGATCGGAAAAGATCCCCTTATTATATTAGTATTTTGTACTAGTAACCCATCGGCTATATAATGAACCCATCAGTTAAGCTTAAATATTAATTGCCCCAATTTTTCCAATCAGCCGATATGTCAAACTTATTATGAAGGTTGGACTAACTACACCAGAATTATATAGTCTAAACTGTGAGTTCGTGTGAGCCATTTTGAGGAAAGATCTTGGATCATATGAAGAAAACGTCAAGAGTAACATTCGTTAGGGATGATTTTACGGCAGAAGAAATCTTAATCTGACAATGATATTTGGGTTGCTACAATCCGAAGAGGTAACAAAGTTGGCCGTTCTGGTGCGTTTGTGAGAACTAGAACTTAAACTATTTTGAGGAACAGGAGGTTTCACAGTTTCATTAGGGGTACTTTTTGGGGTAATTGGGAGGAGGAATTTTCTAATTTTGCAATTCGGAGCTCGAGATCAGTCATTGCTTTCTGCATCCCAGAAAGCATATTAAGAATTTTTCGGATGTATCATCTTACTTGTTAGAGTTATGGATCGAGTCATCAACGGAATTTCCATACTGTAAATAAGTGTAATGAGAGAGTTCTAATCCCGATGTAATATTCGTAATATTAGTAAATGAAAGATCGACATAATCCCATTGTACATGATTATTATTACATAAGTTAAGTTCCGATTATTATAAGAACTACCTTAACAATGGACTTGCTTAAATTTGGCCGCGAATATTTAAAGGAAATCCCGAAGCTGGGAACGAAGAGATTTATAAAAATATCAAAAGGTTAATCAAGTAATAAACGTACGTTTACTGGATGTTATTACAACAGACAATTAATTCTAGTTTGTTCATCTACGCTTGTTGTGCTATAAGATATGTCAACTTATTTATATCTAATTGGATCCTTAGCAGTTTTACATGAATGGCAATCAGATTCTTAATTATTTATAAAAAAGAGAATAATAATTTTAAGATGGGTTGTATAATATTTTAATAGATTGATATTATAAGTTCTCACATATTTATTATAAATGAAATCTTATTATGTTGAATTATAAATCAATTACTTATCATAATATAGTAGAAATTTATAAATAAACCTTCTACTCTTAATATTTGTTATTATTAATAATCTTCAAAATACAACTAATTATACAATTATTTTTGATTATAAACTCTAAAATGAAATGCATAAAGTTTAAAGTTATAATAAAAATACTTGGATTTTATCTACTAGTATTGATTATAATTGCTAAACCTACTTATTATTTTGAAGTTAAGAACTATTTTAAATATTTATATAAAAATAAAAAATGAAGAGAAAATATTATAAGTTTATATTTTATAGCAGAAATGTAATTAAATAAGTTATATTAAAAATATCAATAAAGTAATTAAAAATAAAATAAATAAAATATTACATATTATTTATAAATTTTATATAACTATTTTTAGTTACTTAAAAATTAGCAAAATAATAAACAATTTTTATTAATTTTATCATCTAATATATATAATATAATATTTAATAAAATTTATAATAAACTTTATATAATAATAAAAAAATTTATAAACAAATGAATTATAATTTTTAATATTATGTAATATTAATTAAAAAAAAATTAAATATTTTGTAGAAAAATTAATATTAATATTTAATATAAAAATTTTAATTTGTTATAAATATATATGAAAAATTTTATAATAAAATTAATAATCAATTTAATTTAGTATAAAAGTTTATATTATATTATATTAAACTATTTTTTTTTAAACAAATAAAAACTTTAAATATACATATAAATTATCTATAATATTAAATTAGATTTATAATAATTAATTTATATATTATGTATAATTGAAATTAAATATAAATAATTTACTATCATTATTTTAAAAATAAATATTTAATAATTGCTTAATAATATAAAGTTTTAAATTAATAAATCATATAACAAATTTAATAAATTAATTTCTAATTAATAAGTTTGTATTATAATTAATAATATTATTTAAAATTAAATTAAAATTTTGCTTATTATTAATTTAAACTAATAAATTTTATAATAATAATATATAAATTTATAAAATTAAATATAATAAAAAAATAATAATTATTTGAAATTCAAAATAAAAAAATTAATTTAATTTTTAATAATAATTTATAAATAAAAAATGTTTTTAAAAAATCAAATTTAGAATATGAGAAAAAAAATTAAAGTAAATAATAAATAATTATATAAAAATATTATTAATAAAATTATATTACAAATTATATGATTATTATATATTATAATTTAATTTTATAGGTAATATTCTATATAATAAAAAAAGAAATATTTTTATATTAATATGAAAATTTCTGTTAAAATCATCAAAAATATTTATTAAATATTTAGTAATATTAAAATAAATTAATAATCAACTATAATTATAAAAGAATTATTACATATATATATTATTATAAAATAAAATTAGAATATAAAAGTTATAAAGTCAAAATTGTTAAAATTGTTAATAAATAATAAATCTTTATATAAATTAATAATAATTAGAATTATCATTTAATATTTTAATTAATTAATCATATTTAATTAATTAATTAAATTTCAGTTAAATAGCTAATTAAGATTTATTAATTAGCTAATATTTGATTAACTAATTAAAAAATTAATTAATTAATCACAATTAAAAATTATATTTTTTAACTAAATTTAATTAATAACTTAAAAATATCATAAAAATTTTATTTATTTATATTTCTTTTTAACATATTTATATATTCATTATTTTCTTTAACAAATAAAATCAAATTTCTTATAAATCTTAAATATGTTTTTAAAAAATGTGTTAATCATTTTTTTTTTAAAGTAAAATATAAATTAAACATTTAATAAAAGATAATATAAAATATGATAAATCTATAATTATAATTATAATAATAGCAATATTTAATAAGTTTAATTATTATTATTTTTTTTTAATTTATTATCTTTATTAATTTAATTTTTATTATTCTATTATTATTATTTTTTTATAATAATTGTTTAATTTATCTTTTATATATTTATAAATATATTTTTTTATAAGTAATTTCTAATAAATTTTAATAAATTTAATTAATTACAATTAATAATTTATTATAATAATTTATATATTTATAATAAATTTAATTATTTAATTATAATATTTTAAAAAATTATAATAATTAATTACTATAATTATAAATAATTATTAATAAATAAAAGTATAAGTTTATATAAATTAGTACAAAAAAGAATAATTATTTATTTTAATTATATGATTAATAAATATTGCTTTATATTAATTATTAAACTAAATATTTTTAATTTAAAAATTTATATATTTTAATTTTTAAATTAATATTATTATTCAAGAGACTTTTTTGTCATTTAACTATAACTAATGACTAAAATAGCCAAAATAGTCAAATAGCTAAATTTTGACTAAATAACTACATATTAATAAAGTATTGATATTTATTAGAATTTGATTAACATTTAGTGATATATAAAATTTTGAATTAAATTAATTAAATAGTTAATAGTGAAAAATTAATATTACTTTAAATAGTAAGTATATAAAATATTATAAAAAAAATTATAATATTCTAATATTTAGTAATTATAAAAAATAAAATAAAGTTATTGAATTTATTATTTTAAGATTATTTACAGTATTAATCATAAGTATCTGACTACTTCTAATTCTAGCTATAAGTAAGTAAATTCAAAATTTTTTATTTAAAAAATATATAACTAATTAACTAAAAATAATATATTGTGTAGTTACTATCTGATTCAATAAGTATAGCTGTACACTTTTTCATGCTAGCTACCAAATTTGTGATAAGTACAGATAATAATTAGTTCTATTCTTTTGTAAGTTTTCCTTTTAACCCTCTAATTGATCAAATTTTTTTTGTATATTAATTTTCATTAACCTTATAGATTTTAGTCTAGAAGTATTGATGATCAAAAAAGTACCTTAATACTATTTTCTTTCTTCTATTTTTTCATAATTTTTGATTGATATTTTGAATTATTATCTTCTTGCAAGATCTAATCTATATTACCTTTACCAAAAAATTTAGAGGTAGAAGTTAGAAGTCATTTACTTATAAATAAAATATATAAATTCAACATTAAGATTTCTCTTAAAGTAAATAACTTACTAAATCTAGAAGTAGAAAAACATCCTTAAATATGAACTTTTAGTAGATGCTTAACAAAATGAAACACATTTTTTTTACCAAAAAACTGCTAACTCTTTATTTTGATGTATATAATTGAAATATATTCTCATTTGTAAAAATAATTTGATTTCAATCAAAATTCTTATATTTTTACTCATTGTAATCTTTCTTTCAATGATCTTCTTTAAGCAAAAGTTTAAAATTTTCATTACTAAACTTTCCTTCAGATTTACAAAGATGTTATCTTATTATTTCTACACTAAGCTCAACACCTCTTTCTTCCATTTTTTCTTGTATTTAAATAGTTATTATATTATTTTTTTTTCTATTATTTTTACAATCTTGTCATTTTATTTTGCAGTTATTATATAAGATCATTCTGATATTTAGGTTCTAATTTTTATGATATCTTTTAACAATAAATAGCTGTAGACTTATTACAGCATACTTGTTTATCAATAAATCTAAAACTAAACTTTGGACTAGCTGGATACTCATATAAAAAGACAATTTCATATTATTTTTCTAAAGAAAGCTTCATTTTTCAAGTGAAAGTTTAATGATCATCTAAATTCTTTTTTGTATTATTAATACTTATAAATTTACACGTGATCATATATTGTATTATATTATATTTCTGAAA